AGGGATATAGTTAGGCTACAGTACATGTAGTCGTCGCTCTGTCCAATGATTCAAAGCTATGTCATACCTTCAACTCTTGATCTGCTCTAACCTTAGCACTGTACGTGGAAGGCAATGGCGCACTACGACTACATGATGTATAGTACTCCCATTTCACATCCTAATACGGTATGCATCGTGATGAACTGGTGGTTGTACGGCGTAAGTTGGCCTGGTGCTGCAACTCGATTAGTTAGCAGTTGAAATAAAGTAAGCGTTGTTTTATTCTGCTGAAATGCAGAACTTGTGTTTAGCGTTGTTTTATATTCAATCGGGCTTATATTATTTTAAACGTCTGGTTGTTTAACGCAGTTAAACAACGGGCAAACTACATGAAAAGCACAATAATAGTAACGTTATTAATAGTACAGCGATACACAACTTCCAAAGTGCACCATATAGGATGGTAGAGACTGGAAATTTGGCAGCCCTATCTATCTTGCTTTTAGTATGCGATATAAATTTTTGAATCTGAAAATACAACGGAAATATAAGTTGGTGGGATATCCCACGACGATGAGGGATATGGTACTACTGTAGTATGACGCAATACATGTAATATTTTGCTGGTTATCCGTGATATTATTCTTCTACTCGTGCCATTGCCTTCACATTCACACGCCCAAGGAGCTTGTAAAGTCTATCACTCCATGAGTCAAGTGATGCGTCATTATATCGAACCCTCTAGTCCCAAGGACACCCGACTTCGACTGTTTGGCGCTGGTGCTAATGATAGTCGATTGTACTCCAGTGCTAAAGAGTCGTCGATGCCGCTTCACTCGTGCGTTAAACATGGCCATGGTCGATGGATTTAACGCACGAGTGCATCGCCTTGTGCAAAGCCAACAGAAGTACAACAATGGGCATTGCAGATGATGCCTCGCGAAGTTGCTTTGCGCCAGGTTCAGAACAATGACAGGCTCATGTCTATCGTTCTGAGCCTGGCGCACAACAACCTCACCACAACCCGCCACCGGCCTGCAATTTCAACGTTGACTTTGCGAACGGTGATGCCAGATTGCTACTGCGTCTGTAGTAGTTGACTGATGTACTGACGTTCTCGGCTACATGCTGTGGTGCAACTTGGTCCAAGGCTTGACAGTCCACATGCGAAAATGTGTAGAAAAGGTATTACAGTAATATAAGTAAAGTACTGTAGAGGTTTCAATCTCCCAACGGAATTGCCAAGTGGAAAATTCACCGTCGCGCACGAGGCGGTCTGGTATGTCGGCCGGCTCTTCGATCACAAACACGCGCCAAATCTTCAAGTCGAAAATGTAAAACGTGTTCTGAATACGTAACGACAGGATGCCGTTGATGGCGGCCGACGCTTGGTCCACGTAATACACCTAACCACACCATCACGAATGAGACGAGAATGATATGTCGTAAGTCCAACCTCGTGGGCCACCCATCGCTTGGGGTCAAATGCATGCGTGGCCGAGGCGGCAAGAGACAGCGAGTTCTGGTGCGGCGCGCACCAGCAAGGTGGCTGAACAACGGCTATGCAGTTGGCGGCAACTTGCTGTGCAACTCAGTGCCCACAGGACAGGTCTATTCCTTCTTACAAGTGCCGAGTCGGCTTGCAACTCGCTGTTGGGGGAGTTTCTATTTTCGCCAACGTCGCAAGCTCTCATCGTCGTATCGCTCGGAACCAGCATCATCAAGCCCAATTTGTCTTCCAACACATCGCCAGCCATCTGCACGCAAGTCTAGACCCAGCAAGACAAGTGCATGCCCTTCTTTATAAAGAAACCCATGGCCTTTATGCTCAACACAGCCCTGTACCCAGACCCCGCCGTTATAGCCAACTGGAACGCCTTGGTCGTCACTACTCAAGAGGACATCAGGCTTCTGGACATTAACATTGCCCAATAACCAACCCCAACATCGGTGGTCTCGAACATCTCCCTGCTCCGCCAAAACATCTTTGATTCGGCCCTGCCTGCGTTTCACTACATCGGGTGGCTCTTGGCGTGGGACTGGGCAGTCGCCACGCGCGAAGTGCTGTCGTTTCAAGGGGACATTGGCTCCATCAAAATACTCTCCACCCCCCTCCTGGACGTGGGAGTCTGGTCAACCCGCTGGAGATTGTATCATCATCGCAGTCGTGGCCATGGCATTGATCTACACTGTCCTGAACCGAGGGGACGTGGTGGGGTGGGTCTGAACTTGTTTAAGCGCAATCGGGTGTCGGGGGTTGTCTGGGTGGGACGCACGGTTTGTTCATCCGAAGCATGCCCGCCATCTTTCTGCTCTCCACCCAAGTGCTGGTCCTGGAACCACTTAATTTCGTGTACCACTGTGTGTCGACGACCACCGTCTTGAACGAATCGGTGACCGACCAATTCATTCGATACGCCAAGAAGATCTTTCTCGCGGCGTCCGAAGTGTCGTGGTTATGTTTGTCCTGAACGACCTCCTCATGGTCGTGACGCAGCAGTACACGACAGCCTACGTGTTCAAGTGCAATCTCATGGTGTGGGGTCTGTCTGCCATCCTGTCGTTTGCGTCGCCGACGAACCACACGGCCACGTTTGATCGCAAGTGCGAATTCTCGCACGTGGACTTTCAACTCGTGTTCTCCAACGGTACATCCTACAGTGGGCATTTCCATTGGGTCGCCTCTTGCCTGCTACCTCTACGAGCGCCTTTGCCATCCGACGCTCCCTCGCCACACCAGAACTCTCTGTTCCTTGCCGGCTCGGCCACGCATGTATTTGACCCCGAGTGATGGGTGGCCCACGAGGTTGGACTTACGACATATCATCTCGTCTCATCGTGATGGTGTGGTTAGGTGTGTTATGTGGACCAAGCGTCGGCCGCCATCAACGGCATCCTGTCGTTACGAATCAAGAACACGTTTTACATTTCCGACTTGAAGATTTGCATGTTTGTGATCGAAGAGCCGGCCAACAGACGAGACCGCCTCGTGCGCGACAGCGAATATCATTTGTTGAAGGCAATTCCTTTGGGTGATTGAGCTGGCGACACTATTTTTTACGTTGCATTTTCAAATATTTCCATCTACTAGATTTGAGTATTTCATAGTGTACACTGTACAGTACTACACCGTTGTCCGTAACCAGTGTGGGCACTTCATTACAGTAATATGGCTTCCTTATTAGTGTAGACTACATTATTAATAGGGAGTGATCCTCTATGGCGACCTTCAAATACATGGAAATATAGCTTATTTCGTGAAGTCTCCACTTGGTAGCTGATATATATCCTCAGTGTCGACGCAAAATGCACCAAATAATCTACGCGTTGGAACTGAAGCACGTATACATGTAGTAAATGCAATTTAAACAATCATTGGTCATAATTATTAGAGAATTTGGTGGATTTACTACCTGAATGAAGGCTACACTAACGTTATCATGCGTTGGACCCCTCCAAATGAGGTATCTATCGCCAATACTGCAGGCTACACTAGTTACGGACAACGGTGCAGTATAAATCGTCCATCAGTCCTGAAACGTCATTCTAGTGTATTTCACGACGCCGTGATTAACGGGCTATGGACGGTCAATATGAGCTCGCTCAACAACAGGCAACAGCCAATCTTAACTTCGCCTTCGCTCCGAAAAACGATAAACGCTCAAAATATCTATTTTGAATGTGGAAAATGTTGATACTAATACATCAACAAATATTCAATATCCGTACTTTACGACTCAATGTTGACTGTGGTACTCCGTTGCGCATAGCCAGTTTCTGTTCCGATGTTTTTAACTTTGATTGGCAATTCGAATGCGTTGTGGGGAGTATGTGTTTTCGCGATTTGTATGCGTTTTCAATCGAGTAAAACCGAATCGGACGAAATGGAGCCTGAATGGCCGAATTCAATAACGTTTTAAGGTATTTTGTGACAAAAATAGTCTTTAAGCAAAGATTTACAGTACTCGAGTATTAATTATTGGTGATATATTGCTGTGCACGTTAGCCTCAGAAAAATGGTGAGATATTGTAATGACATTTTTTGTCGAGCTTTCAACGTCGATATCGACAATTCAAGTCGTATTCGGTGACACACGTGGTGCCGCCACCATCGCCGCTATCGCTCGCACTGCCTGCCCCCCTCGAAATCGTGTCCATGATGTTATCTTCGTCCTACAACGCCTACAAGCCAATTCCAGATACCCCACCACCTCGCTTTGATCACGTTCAGGCAACGCGGTCATGGCGCATCCAAGTGGCCTTGATCAACTCGATGGAATTCGCGGCCGAATCCTCGCGCGGGATTGTCATGCCCACCCTCTTCCTCTACTGCCAGTCTGTAGGCGGCACCCTTGCTGACATGGGAATCCTCATGTCGATCTTCAGCATCGGTCGACTGGTATCGTCGATGGTGTTTGGGTACCTATGTGACCGCCCTGGCGCGTCCTTTCGCTTTGTGTACATGGTATCCTTGGCAATCGGCGTGGTTGGGAACATCATGTACTTGCTCGCGGACTCCCATGTGGCCAACAGCAAGACGCTTCTCGTCGTTAGCCGCTTCATCGTGGGAGTCGGCGCTGGAAACCGAAGCGTCTGCCGCGCAGACATCGCGCGCCTCACGTCCATGGACCAGCGTTTGACGTACTTGACGCTGCTGAGCACAGTAGTGTTCCTAGGGTATGCCCTCACACCTGGGCTGGGTGAAGTGTTTGTAGGTGTGAATTTCACCCTCGTTGGGGGGATTTCGATTCACGAGCTCAATGACCCAGGGCTGGTCATGGCCGCATTCGATTTCGTCCTAGCCATATGCATGTGGCGCGGATACAGCGAAGTTCTTCATGCATCGATCCCCCCTCCATCATCCATGGACACGAGTAGTATGAATGTCGTCGTGCATGCCCCCACCGAAGGCAGCAACACGACTGGCGACGACGTCGTCGACGAGGAACTGTCCACTCGTTTGTTTTACTTTGGAGTCGCGGTCTTTGTCGGGCTCAACATCATTGGGCGTGGCGTCCTTTCCATTTTTGAAACCATCAGTGTGCCTCTGTACTTGGACGTGACTCGGTTGTCTGGGGACCAAGCAGTGGCGTCTGCATCTGCGTTCCAGTTCAATATGGGGCTGCTAGGGCTGCTCAGCTACCTCGCCATCATGGTATGTCGCCGCAAAGTTGCCGATAGCGGTTGGCTACTCCTTGGGCTGGCGGCCATGGTCGTCGGCAACGGCCTGCTCTTCTTTTTGTGGCCGCTGTCGTTCAACGAGATGGCCCTCGGTATCTTTTTCGTGTGGAGCGTCGGCAGTCCGCTGATTACGACGGTGTCTCTCGCCGCATTTTCCAAGATCCTGGGCTCCCGGCAACAAGGCACGTGGATGGGTATCCTCGGCTCCTCCGCCTCGATGAGTCGCATTGTGCTGCCGCTGCTCCCCGCCCTCTTTGACACTTTCGCCCCGTTGTTTGTCGTCAGTTTGATCATGGCTGTCGTTGGCATGGCGTCTTTGCACGGGTTTCACACGCTGGTGACGCAGGCCAAAGCGAAAAGGGCCAACAGAGAACGAGTTTAACCTTGTTTTTTTGTTGACAAGTCCTTTGTGCTGTGATAGCAACGCGTGCCCATGCAGCTACTGTATGCAACTGTACAAATGAACAGTAATCGCGGCTAATACGAGTAACAATGGTTCGGGCTAACGTTAACGTTAGCAACTAATCGCGGCTAATACGAGTAACAATGGTTCGGGCTAACGTTAGTAGGAGTATTGTGATTATTTCGCAATAAACCTCGCGTGGTTTTCGAATCACTGTGAATCAAGCTGAAAATTCTATCATCTACTGTATGTACATGCAATACTTACAGTAAATAAAATGAAATCTGATACTCCGGAGTATTAATACAGATGAGTACTTCAGTATTTTTATTCTGTCAGCAATACTTATTCGAAGTACTACCGGTACCATATACCCCCCGCTCCAGTACCTATGAAAATGTCAGTGAAATCTGATCACAACCGGTACAGCTCATCGCTTGCAGCGATACCACGGAGTCGCTAATCCCCACTCGACCCATAACGTGTGTAAACGCCTTGAGTTTCACGGGGTGATCATTTCATTGTGACCTCGTGCACATACAGTACCGTAACATTCCTCTTACTATATTGTGCTCAAAAAGCAAGTTGGACAAGTTCTTACTGTAAGTTTTTCGTACTTACTGTTAGGAGTATAAGGTTTACAGCAGAATCAATAACGCTGCTTGTTATGCATCCCACCTTCGTCCCCTCCTTCACTGAGGATCGCCTCATACGCGGGGGTCTTGTTGGATGGCTCTTGACTTTACGACCTCTTGGAAGTCTTGTCATTCTTCAAGTTGCCAGGGTTCCTTGCTTCTGATTGGTCAATGTACTCGGATTGAAAAATGGACATCAATTTCGAATTCAGGAGGGGATTGATATCCTAGCTTAATTTCCACGATGACCATGACGATGTCCATCCGTCATTGGATTGGTGCGCTGCGAGCATTGCATCTTGTTGAAATATTTGAACAAGTTAGTTGAAACGGCTGACGAAAAAGAGAATTTCGCGTCACTCGTGAGCACTGCTCGAAGTTAGTCTGTTGGACGCGTTGGAGTGGGCCAAGCTTGGCAATCTGTGACGCAAGTCACTATTGTAAATTGTTGGCGCCATACTGGTATTATTGACAAGGAGGTTTGTGAGTTGATTGATAGTATGCATAACCTTTAAAA